GGTTTTCTCTTCTACAAGTCCCAGTGAAGTGCGGGAAATTTGGAAGATGTGGTCCAAGAGGAGTCTGGTAGGGCAAGACCCAAGGCTATCTGCTATACATATAAACCAGGAGCTTTATTTCTTGCCACCCAAACAAATTTTGGGTTGTACAACTACAGAATGCTTGTAAATTACATGCAAAGGGACCCTGAGCATTTATGCTAACCTTGTGCTAACCCTAGCCCCATCAATATGGACAAATTAAGCTGTGTCACACTTGAAAATTACTCAATTTTTGTTATTACAGCTCACTAGAAACCAAACACGTGTCTGTGAAGGACCATGGCTTTTGTTATAAAATTCAATCCAGCGAGCCCAGGAGAGGCTTGAGAGAAGCCCCATCCTGAGGGCTCTGGGGGTGCTGGGGAAGGGGGTCAGCAGAGGCAAGAGCCCACAGGGGAGGGTGCTTGTCCACAGGGATGACACTTCCAGTGGCTCAGGCAGTGGCTGCTGTTGGAAATAGCTGAGCAGGCACTGCTGGCTGCTTGCTGGGAAGATTTTGCACCAAGTAGGAGCAAGAGCAGAAACATGGTAAAATCTGGCAATGCCATGAGTTGAGGCAACTTACACTGAGCGAGGGTCAAAGGGCCAGAGAGAAACTGGTACTTGGGAAACAATGAGGGCAAAATTGAGTATCTTCACAATAAGGGGAAAGAGAATTTAACATGAAAATCATGATCCCACTGACTGGAGGAGTGGAAACACAAATCATTGCCAAGAACAGTGCGTTCAGATTTAGCTTTCTCATGTGCCAGCCAAAGACTGAACAAAAAATGTGAACATGGTCAAAATGGCAAAAAAAAAGATTGTGTGGACAACAATCCTCTCTTTTAGGAGAAAAAAAAAACCCAAAAAACAAACAAACCAAAAAAACCAACCAAAAATCAAAACCTCATGCTTCAGTGGTTAAAACACTCCCCAACCATTGGAAACTATGAGATTGCCCAATCCAGGACAGAGAACATCTGATATCTGCTCAGCAGGATTTACCAACCTAAGTTCACCAAACCCCTGTCATTTCTAGAGTGTATCTACCCGCTTAATTAATCGATGATGATCAAGTAGTTCACCATGGACCAGGTTTCTCCAGTCACCAACCATTCCCAACCTGTTCTGGTATACTAATCTTAGGATGTATGTGTGTTGAGTAATTGTGGACCTGTGGCTGCAGCCAATTTAGACAGCATCCAGAGGATTCCAGCATAGATAGATTCAAATCAGAATTGTTAATGGGTTTGGTTTGGCTTTTTCCTCTCTTTACTCGGAAGCCCAGGTTTCAGTATCCCCAAAAGATCAGCATTTAGGAACATTTATCAACAGAAAAAGCACCGAGATTTATTTCTTCAATAAAGAAACAAGGAAAAAAATAAAATAAACCAGTGAGGTAAGATGATACTCAGGAAAAAAAATCACTGCCTGCTGCCTGTATTTTACGGGAACTCTGCACGCCGGCCCGGTCTCTGCACAGCCCGGGGCCGCAAGGCAGTGCTGGAGCCACGGCGGGAGGCGGCACTGCGTGCGGGCCCGCATGGGAACCGTTCACGAGCGGGCAAATCCCTCGGGAAACCCACGGGCAATTCCCAGAGCACGAGGTGCCGCAGGGCCGTCCGAGGAGGAGGGAGCGGACACCGGAGCGTCCCGGGCCGGCCGAGGTGAAAGCGGGGCAGGCGGGATGAGCCCGGGCCCGTGGCGGGCGGTGCAGGCGGGATG